CCATTTGTGGCAAATTGAACATGCAGCAGTGGCAGTACCTAGACCTGACATAGAGAAAGGGAAACGCTGCTGTTGGACCATCCTCTTCATGGGCCCAGCACTCAAGCAGTGGGGGATGGAGGGAGTAATAACAAATTCTGGCCAATATCCTTAAGAAAAGTCCTCTTATTTCTCCTGTTGTTAAGGGCTTCCTCTTGGTTCAATGTGCTTAGGTAGTTAACTATCCAAATGAGTCTGGGGCTCAGGCATGGGGGTGGGGGAGCGGTGGTAAGGATAAATTCTGGCTACTATCCTTAAGAAAAGCCCTCTTGGGGCACCTGGGTGGCTCAGTCAGTTGAGTCTGACTCTTGACTTTGGCTCGGGTCACATTCCCAGGGTTGTGGGATTGAGCCCCCACATTGGGCTCCATGCTGAGCACGAAGCCTGCTTAAGATTCTCTCTCTCTTCCTTTGCCCCTCTCCCCCACTCAGGTGTTCCCTGTCCTAAAAAAAATAAAAATAAAAATAAAAATAAAAGTCCTCTTATAATCTCTTGTTGTTAAGGGCTTCCTCTAGGTTTGATTGCTTAGGTAGTTAATAATGTAAGACCCAGATTCTCATGCTTTTCGCCTACACCGATGATCTCTCTAGGTGCCTCTTCTGTGCCTCTTCTGTAAAGGTCTAATTATTTCTCCTTTGCATCCCAGTCTTGCTCTTTCCAGACCCCTGGCCAACCAGCCCAGCCATTTGTGACCGCTCAAGTGTCTGTGTTTATAAAAGCAGACCACATTTACCTACATGTTGTTTACAGCTATCCACACTGGAGAAATTTCTTCTAACCAACCTCTTTAGGGCCATCTTTGAGTTAGGATACAGTAAAGCAGATGTTTAGTTTGATTTGCACCAACACATGAGGTTAGTTTCCTCAACTTAGGGAAACTTCCATGAAGCCGTCTGTAAGGGCTAAGGGGGAAGTAATTCTTCCAGGGAGTAAGTAAAACTATACTTCTTCATGTAAAGTACTGTTTCTTCTGGACATTTGGGCTGAGGCCCAAATCTAAATGCACCACTTCAAATATACACTAAATTATATTTCAAATGCGTGACCACACTGCAGAGACATGCTCTGGTTGCACAGTCAACACATGTTCTTCATGGAGGCATTCAATTTCTACTGGGCTCTGTAGCAAATAAAGATCTGGTTTTCAAAGAACATGTTGCTACAGATCTACCGATCTGCTACAGATGACCCGACCCTGAGATACATGCAACAAGTTTAGCTAACCTGGATACTTCCGACACCACTGAATTTAAGACTCACATGGCCCCAGCAAGTAAATCAGATGGCACTGCAATACAACAGTTCCAAGTGTGAAAGACCCACTTAGTCCTGTGACTCTACCTTAGTGGTAGATGTATGAGGGATAATAACTTGTCCTTTATTTCAGAAAGCGAATCCTCATTGAAGTGGTAGGTCTGTATAACTTTCCAGGAGTTAACTTACCATTTCTAGAATGCGTAAAACTTATGAGGGTATCTAGAATACTTGTTGAACACTAACTACAAAGCATAATAAAATCAATATGGCAAACTATTGTGATGCCCCAAATTATAAAAGATGCCCAAGGCATCAAAAAAAAATTATAATGTCCTAGGAGCAAGAGAGTTACAGTAGCCCTGATACAAAACTGTGAATGAATAGTGGTTCTCTTCCCTTAATAAAAGGTGTTACTTTGATACTCTTTATTGATAGATACTGAAAAGAATGCATCTTGCACAATAGTGGCATCCAAATACTAGAATTTATGTTCTTCTTTTCTAGAAACACATCCAGCAAAACTGTTTCAAATGTGGTATCACTATTTAGGTTTATAATAATCCACTATTAACCACCATAGTTTACCTGTGTTTTGAAAGGGCCATACAGATGGACTGAATGGAGAGATCACGGAAACAATCACCTCTGACTTTGAGAGCATCACTAACTTCTGCAATTCTTCCTGGGAAAAGATATTCTTTCTGATTTACTGTCTTGGACTAGAGGGTGACTAGGAGGATGCTGGGATATTTCTTTGGTCTTTCCTTCTATAACAGCTTTCCCTCAACAGATCAGAAACTAACAAGATTCTAAATATATCCAGTCTAGTGTTCCATTTTTGGAAGAATATTTTATAATCTTAATAAAATATATTTTATTATTTACTTTACACGTGATTCTTTATCAAAAACTTCTTTATATAATTTTTAAATGTACTGTAGTACAATTTACATGCAGTAAAATTTACCCACTTCAAGTCAATGATTTTTTATAAATTTACTGAGATTTCCATTTAGTTAGTATTCTTATTTCCAGCCCTAGCCAAATATTATATATATTTTTTAATGTTTATTTATTTTTGAGACAGAGAGAGACATAGTATGAATGGGGGAGGGCTAGGGAGAGGGAGACACAGAATCTGAAGCAGGCTCCAGGCTCCGAGCTGTCGGCACAGAGCCTGATGCGGGGCTTGAACTCAAGCACTGTGAGATCATGACCAGAGCCAAAGTCAGATGCTTAACCGACTGAGCCACCCAGGCGCCCCTAATCTACTTTCTAATTTGCCTTTTCTGGGTAACTAATAGAATTATTCATGTAATTGTATACTAAGGATTTCTTATTTTAGTGAAGATTTTCTAAATTTAGACTCACAAATTTAAACAGCCATATAAGTCTCTGTAATTTTTCCCAAGTGTGTAACTGAGCATCAAGACTCCATAGAAGCTTCAAAGATGCAGAAATAACTATAAAGGGCCTCATAAATGAATTAATCCCAGTAAGGGTTCTAACAGTGTAGCTCATAACTCTATACCTCAGGACTGTGCTTCAGAGAATTCACCACGTGTTTGTTTTTGTCACCAGTTATATACTACGTTGCTTTGAGAATGAGTGCTAAACTCAGAAGTACTCAACTGTTATTTTCTTCCCCATCGATTTTTTAACATCAAGGTGACCCAGTCTGATGTATGCCTGTACCGTTACACAAAGTCCCCCAGACACCCTAGCAGGCAGTCCTAAAGGTGATAAAAGTTGCAACTCATCCACCTAAAACCACCTGGATAATGAAAGCTCATTTCAGGGAGCTGAATAGATAAGATATTGATTCTGGTGAAAGACAATGTATGCTCAACTCATGGTCTGGTAATAGAGGGAATGGAATTAGAGAGGCTAGCTGTCACCACAAATAACCTGAATCTCCTCATGAACTAAAATGGTTTCTAAATCTGTAAAACTTTCAACCTGGAGGAACTTAAAAAATATAGCACTGCCAAGTAAAGCAGAATGAATGTAAAAAAGGATTTCATTATTTAATGACAATCCAGATACTTGAGGTAGCTCTTCAATTAAGATCGGCCCAAGTTACTATTTTGCATCCCATATTAAACTGAGGAAACTTTCTTCTCCTTATTTTGTTAAAGTTGGTATTTCTTTGTTTTGTTTGTTTTATTTTTAGTGCCTTATGCTCCCAGGCATTGCTCTAAGTGTTAGAGGACCCAATATTGAATACTGAATGAAACAGAAAAAGCACCTGAGTTTATTGAATTTTTTATTCAAGTGAAAGAGACAAAACAAAACAAAACAAAACTAAAAAGCTAATTGTACTATATGATTTTTAGCAGTAAAACATGCTGCAGAGGAAAATTAACAATGGAAGGAGAGAGATTTAGAAAAGTAGGGATACCTTTTCTGGATACGGTTGTTAGGGAAGGCCAGTACGAAGATAATATTTGAGCAGAGAATTAAGTGAAGTGAAAGTACAGCCATATGAATATCTGGGCATGAGCTTTCTAACCTGAGGGGAACTCAGGTGTAAAACTTCCGAAGGAAATGTGATAGTCATATTTTTGGACAAGAAAAGTCCAGAATAGTTGAACAAGAATATGCAAAGTCAGACATGAGGTCTGAGTTATCCTGGGACCAGAGTCAACTAGGGCCTTATAGGACCTCGATAAGTACTATGGATGTTGTTCTAAATACAGTTGGAAAGCCATACAGAGATTCTGAGCAGAATGACAGTTATTTTTTAAAGGAATAGTCTGGCTGTGGAGAAAAAGTGCAAAGAAAGGAATCATAGAGACTAGTTGATAGACTTCTGGATTAGTTCAAACAAGAGATAAAAATGGCTCAGCTTAAAATATCAATGATTACAGCTGAAATAGTTACGTTCAGCTTGGTGAATAATTCAAAGATAAAGTATAAAGAATTTCCTTACGTGTTAGATATAGCATTTGAGAGAAGAGTCAAAACTGATTACAGTATCTTCTGTCTGAGCAACTCATGGACTGGTAGTCCCATACACTTAGAAAAGACAGGGCAATGAAAAAGATTCATAGAGAGGACATGGGAATCACCAGTTTGGACTTGGATATGTGAAGTCTGAAATGCCTATTAGATATCCAGAGAAAAATGTGTATGTCCCACAACTGAATAATGGCAAGGTATAAAAGGAATGTGATTTCGAATAAATATTTGTGTTATCTGTTTATAGAGGGTTTTCAAAGCCATGGGTCTGGATAAAATCATAAAATGAGAGAGGGGGGTGCATGGAACCCTGAGACATTATGGCATTTCTAAGGCAGAAAGAGTATAATAGTAATCAGAAGCAGCATTGATCCCTAGCAGTGATCACCACCAGAATCCAAGAAACAAAACTGTTTTAACAATGAGGGAGTGATCAACAGTGTCAATTGTTCTGAAAGTTCAATTAAACAAGGAGTGAATTTTTACAGATTAACTGCAATAACATACAACCCCCTCTCAGTGGGGTAATGCAAATGTTTATTTCTCATCTGCATAGAAAGTCAATGTGCATTAGCAAAGGGCAGAAACAGTGAGGGCTTGCAACATGCAGTCATTTGCATGCCAGGGCTCTTCTGGCTTCAGTAGGAACAATTATTGTTATAGGAGCAGTCACTTTTTGGTAAAGCAACACAGCCAATCCTTGGCAATCTGATAAGAAAGTAACTAGAAATAAATACCCTTACCTCACCCTCCGTCCTCCCTCTCATCTCTTGCGAATTCTTCAGTTGTTTACATTCACCTGGAAAATAAGAATCCAGGAAGGCATTAATGCAGTTCATAAATTTAAGAATTGTGAAGGGAAGTCAAGAGTAAATTTGATGCAGCAAATATAAGATATTATTAATACACCATTGCTTAATCGCTAAAATTAAGTAAGAAATATTGGTGTCTATTTGTTTTCCTTTTGCACAAGCATCTTAAATATTCTTAACATACACAATTTAAATTTAGGGTTAGCTTTTCAATCTGCACACACACTAAAAATATGGTATGGTTATCATTGGAATTTCTTAGTATTTATAGATCATTTCATGAATAATTGATATTTTTGTGATATTAAACCCTCGCATCCACGAGCTTTAGATCATTATTTATATAATAGTTCTATTTATGACATTCGATAATATTTTATAATTTCCTACCTAGAAATATTGCATATTCTTTCATAGATTCAGTTCTAAGTATCTTAGAGATCTGTTTTGCTTTCAGGAGGAATGTTTTTCAAATTATATCTTCCAACTGGTTATTGCTGATGAATAGGATCGCTATGGATTTCAAATATATCTCTCATGTCTGACAGAATGGTATTATCATTAAGCTCTATTTAGGTACTTCATCTCTTCTTCCAAAATATTTTTTTTTCAAAAAAGTTAACCTGTTGGTTGTAAAATGTTTTTATTTTGCTTACTGTTTTCTGCTGTCATTTAATTTTAACAAGCTTTCTCTGTCCCACTCTTGCTTCACATGACTGTCCTCTGACTTAAAACTATAGATTTATTTTACATACCTTTTAAAAGGTTAGGCAAATTCTAATTTCTTATTTGTTTCCTAAGTGCTTATTTTGCTTGGTTTAATGAATGAGTATTGAATTTTAAAGTAAGGATTTCACTCTTTTAATATGATTTTAGTTTTCTCTTTCATAGTTTGATGTGGTAAATCTTTCCATGTGAGGCTGATTTATGCATTTATTTAATTTACAGTGTATGTTTTGATTAGTTGCCAAAGTCATATTATTGTCATGTAATTACATGTCATTTTTTTCTATTTACAAAAGATACATTTTGAAGCTCTGAAGCTCCATCTGCTCTTTTAATTGTTAATAAAATCATCTGCATGACTGTCCGAGCTTCTTACATATCCCTTTTTGTGAGGAAAAGCAGAATTCACAAAATATTTTCAGTTTCATTAGTAGATATTGTTTTATTCAGGTATTATCTCTAATCTTCATTAAAAATGAAAAATAAATTGGATATTTTGAAAAATGTATTTTGTCCCTCAGTTTTCCTCATTCCCTCCTTCATTTGAACTAGTAAGGTTTTATATGTTCTACTCTCTCACCACACTTTTTAACCTATTCATTTTTAAACTATAGCTTTTATCTGTGTTCTTTCAGTGATTATTCTTAAAAATGTATGTCTGTATCTATATCTATATATTATAATATATGCAATAAAATTAACATACATTAAAGTCAGTTTTCTGATCCTGAATTTGAGTTACAGGCATCAACATGAATTCACATTATGTGTTACTGGAAAGTATCGACACATCTACAGACACTGAAATAAATATAAATGTGTGTATATGCATAAGTGAATATACATACATTTCCTAGTTCTCTCCACTAAGAGGGCCTATAAAACTCCTATGGCACACCTAGTACCCAGATCTTGGTTTGTATATTCCATTTACTAGCAAAAGGAGCCAGAACTCACTGGAGAAGTGGTTAATTACAGAGCTCTGGCAGGGCAAATACAATATGAGCTTGGGGTATGTTGGGGTGCCAGAAGGAAGTTCACAGTTTGTTTTCATGTATGTTAAAATATTAATGAAAAATTACAACTTTATAATCAAACCCACAGTTTTGAGGTATTTTATGAAAGTAGTTTTAAAAAAAAGACAAAAATTGGTTAATATCTACAGAGGAAAATATAATCCGCAAATTAATATTTTGACAGTTGACACTAAGATATATTTTAAAGAGTAATTTTTAAGTCACACTTAATGCTGTTAAACCGAAGTTTATTTAGCTTATATCTTCAAGATTTCTTGGTATAAAAGTTTTAATAATTAAAATGAGTTAGAACTCTGAGCACAGAATAGCAATTTACACTTCTAAATTGATATGTGTAAAAGAAAAATATAAAGAATAATTATTTACAGGCATGTACCCTCTTCCTATGCCCTCCTTCAAATAGAAATCAACCCCTTTGACTGCTGAGCATTTTATTAAGCCAATCAAGCTGGTGGCTTCAGAAAAAAAAATCCAATGATTTTGGATACCCAAACCAATGATAACTGGAGCAGGTGAAAGCATTTTTCAAACAGTAGATATATAGTACAGGATGGGAGGGGGGTCATGGGGCGAAGAACTAGGAAATTTCAAGAAGACTTTTATTTTTTAATTTTTTTTAATGTTTATTTATTTAGTTTTGAGGAAGTGAGAGAGAGCACAAGCAGGGGAGGGACAGAAAGAGAGTGGGAGACATAGAATCTGAAGCAGGCTCCAGGCCCCTAGCTGTTGGCTTAGAGCCCCATGTATAAGAATATGACCTGAGCTGAAGTGGGAAGCTTAACCAACTGACCCCACCCAGGCGCCCCAGGAAGATTTTTAAATTAGAGTTGGCAGGAGGGTTGTTTCAAGTAGTCTCCTCTGCAAGGAATTATGAGAGGGATAAAACACAAATCGTTGATTCTAAGAAGTATTTTGTTAACCACTCCCACACACACAAACCCCCACATATATGCACTTGGAAGTTTCTGAAAAGCCTGAGAAAAATTCTGAAATGTTTACTTCAGATATACTGTTACTTCCTTAATTAGACGGTGGGTTTTATCAAAGTATTGCGCTTAAATCTCCCACAAAATATTAACTTATAGTAGAATGTAAGCCATGACCTTAAATTAACGAATCTGTTGAGGTATTCCAAACGTATGGTTATGTTTAGTTATACATACAGTTTGGAGTTAGGTAATCCAAGGAGTCACCAAGGAAGGGTAAAGTGATACCATAAAGGCATATTTTGATTTTGATTTTGCTCTTTTTAACTAGTACTTAGAAAAGCCAGGGGCCTTAACTTCATTAAGATTTACATAGTCACAGAGAAAGAATTTAGAGTGCATAAAAGTTTCCAGAACATTACAATGCAGTAACAGTCATGCTAACTAATTCTCTCAGGCCTACTTCCCCTTTCTTACTACTAGTTCTTTTATCACTGATTCCTTGACTCCTTTCAGTCTAATTTTACTAATCGTCCTTCAGATTTCTGGAAACTTGACTTTTCTTTTAGTTACTAGAGTCTCATCCTCATCATGTAGTTTCTCTCACCACTCAATGTCAGTTATACTACGCTTAGAAGAAGGCCTTTAGCAAGACGGTCATGTACTGGGCATTCTGATTTCACATTTATTATAAGTCACTAATAATCCATTTTTTATTTGCTATAATGTTCCCATTCCCCTTCTTTCTTTTTGCAATTGGGGTGCTGAAAGTCGGAATGATTTTCATGCCTAAATGTCATGTTATGCAAGTATTAATAGTAGGCAACAGTAAAATGGGGGGTAGGGGAGTTGGGATAAAAATATTGTAGGAAAGCCCAAAGGAAGTTGATAAGAAAGCTAACTTAAAGAACACCCTGAAACAGAGCCCAATAAGATACGTTGATTGTACCTGGACTGTATTTATGAGTATGTAACCAAAGGAGGCCACTTATGTAAAATTATTGCATAGAAATGTCTCCCTAATCCTAATTCTAAAATAACTCCCTCATTATCTAACTTTCTAAGTTTCATCACTGATTCTCAAATATTTTTTCTTCCAAGAATTACTGCTTAGGGGCGGCTGGGTGGCTCAGTCGGTTAAGTGTCTGGCTTAGATTTGGGTCATGATATCATGTTTCATGAGTTCAAGCCCAGTCGGGCTCTGTGCTGACAGCTCAGGGCCTGGGGTCTGCTTCAGATTCTATGTCTCCCTCTCTCTCTGCCCCTCCCCAACTCGAGCTCGGTCTCTCACTCTCTCTCAAAATTAAAAATTAAAAAATTTTTTTTGCAAAAACAAGAATTACTGCTTAAATGGAGAGGTTATAACATAAGCTTCTAGGAGTATGTGGTTTAATGTGGTTGAGAGTGAGAATATTAATGAAAATATTTTAATTCCTAATATGCACTCAATAAAATATGATTATGATGTGAACACTAGCTTCAGAGAATTTAACTTACATTAACAGAGTATAAAGAAACAGTACTTAGAAGAATATAATTTAAAAAACAACAAATTGGTTAGTGTTACTAAGATACTAGGGAAGGATTCAAGGACAGCTCAGAGCCTGGAGCCTGCTTCAGATTCTGTGTTTCCCTGCCTTTCTGCTTCTCCCCTGCTCATGCTCTGTCTCTCAAAAATAAATAAATGTTTAAAAATGTTTTTTAAAAAAGAGACAGAAAGACACTTGATTTCAGAAACTGTTAGATTGGTGTGCCCTTTTGATTGACAAGATTTAGAAGAGGTGCTAAATTATTAATGTGCAATTCCTTTGTAATGACTAGTAAAGAAAAATTATGTATATAGCTTTAGTCTAATAAGCTCAGAACTACTGTATGTCAAGAGTCAAATTCATATAAGGTAGTAAGGAATAAAACCAACCACAGCTTTCCTGGTTTCAAGGTAAGCTTTCAGGATCTATTATCTAACAAGAATGGTTAGCAAATCTAACCAGTTTGTGTAACTCAAGACATTTTAATTTTGCCTGAGCCCTAAGGTCAAAATTTCAGGCAAAATTTAAAATCTGTATTAATTCAGTGGTTGGAGCAAGCAGTGTTTAGACATTTTAATTGATCTTTTTTTTTTTTTTTTCATTTGTATGTAGCTCCAGTTAGTGTGTTAAGAGACCATCTGACTTCTATATGACTTCTCTGGGTCTATTCTAAAGCTGGAAACATATTCCTTAAGGTAATCTAGCAAAATTGGTTTACTGAATTAAATAATTCATCCAGGAAATCTTTGTGCAGACCTTCTGAATATAA